GGGGGAAAAAAATAAATGGAAAAATATTTAACAAGCTATTTGATAATGCATCAGCCAACCCTTTGCATCTGTCAGAGATGCAAGGGTAGGTAGCGACGGACCACTGAGGCTGTGGTGGTGAACTCACGGCGCTGTTGGTGTCCCGACAGATCGGTCAGCTGCCCCTACTCCGAGATCAACCTGAATAAGGAAGGGCTCCTGCCTGACCGGCTGAGCGGAGAGAGGACGGTGGCGCTGGCTGGGCCGCACAAGGGCAAGCGCACCGAGACGCCGACGCCCACCTCCACCACCCCTGACCTGCCCGAGCTGCAGGACGACTCCCCCCACTCCAGGTCAGTGGGGCAGCGCGCCTCTTCCCTGTGGCGTTTGGCAACGTCCGAGCCCCTTTAGTGTTTTTAAAGTGACTTACTGAGCATTTAAGCTCAATTGTGTGTCATGCTCCGCTGTAGAATTTTCAAATGAGCAGCCGCAGAGAGGCAATGAGAGGAGCACAACACAAAGCACCAAAGGGAGGAGCCACAAACACGGAAGCACCTGGTACCATCTGGTAACTATCTTGTTCTCAGTGTTGGCAGGAAGTCTTGGAGCGGCGACAGTGAGCGGTCGGGGCGCAGCAGTGTCCAGAGCCTGTCGGAGCCTATGCATAGCAGTGAGGAGAGGATAGGGGGCGCTGCTGAGCACTGCGACAGTGGCAACAAAGCCAAAAAGTAATTGAACGCCGTACTACACAGGACAAAAAAATGGCAGTTCTTTCTCAATTTCAGTAAAAAATTTCAGAAAAGTGAGGAATATTTCCCTGACAAGAAAACCCTATGATCTTATGGAAATTACTTTTCTTCTCATCTCTTTCACTGTGAAATATCCGTTGCTTTATTTTTTAACCGTGCCTGTCTCGTTTTGAAGTTGTGACGCATTCTTCCCAGAGAATAATCAGAGTTTTATAATCTTTTGTTTTTCTCCAGGTCTGAACAAATTCCCAAATGTTTAAAGCTTCATTTTGTCAAACAGGAAATCGGAGATGGAAAAGGTACAAGACTCGATACTTAACTCACTGTTTTTCTGATCTGCCACACCAAACAGAAATGTGCCAAACCGCCTAATTGTTTCTCTTGTTGTGCTGTAGGTTGCTTTACAAATCCCTGTGTTTATCTTTTTTCCTTACAAATTTTGAGTCAAACATGTATAGAGGGAGGTGCCTATGCATTCAGGATGTTAGTGTCGGAACAGCATGCTCGTGTTGTGCTGTAATGACACTGCTGTGTCTGTGTTCAGTGTATATTTAACCATGGCAGTGCGGTGTAGGTTTACAGTGTACAGTGGGCTGCAGTCATACCCAGACTACACGTCTCTTTAAATTATCACCTTAAGAGCTAAGAAAAGTGTTTATACTTCAGTGCAGTTGGATTTAGCTGGAATGAAAACTTGCTCCTAGTAGGTGAGAATCCCTGTTGTACAGCAATGTTGCTGTGTTAGTGTTCCCTTAATGCTCTATAGCAGTAATATTCCTATACTGGTACACAGTCTTATGGAGAGCAAGTTGGGGTATGCGAAAAGACAAATTCTTAAAACAAGAAATTGTATATAGCCAATAAAGTGATCTGATCTCTTGGGATTGAGGTTTGATGGTTTACTTGCCACTGTGCATTCAGTGCTGTGTTGTGGGGGATACTCTACAATGACTGTGTTCTCTTCCTCCCCTCCCCAGAGTCCCCCGTGAGTCTGCAGCAGGCTCTACACGACTCGGTGTTCACCCCTTCCTGCTCCACCAGCCCCACCCAGCGCATCCAGATGTGCTGGGAGAAGCACTGCAAGCTGCTGCCAGAGGTGCTGGGCCTCTCTGCCAAAAAAGTGGCCAAGTGGACCACTGAGGAGGTAACTGGACTCCGGAAGACTTGTCACTGCCATTTGGGGAGCTTTGACAAAGAGCCAAACCTGCTTAACTCTCCGGGGAAATGCCTGGACTGTGCTTCTCAATATAGTTCTTGCAATCAATCTTTCCTTTGAGATGGTCTTCTGTAATGACCCGCTGTTCATCTAGGCTCGTAACTGAATTGAGTTGCTGGTGGTCCACTGTGCGATTGTTTTGTAGTTTTAGTCTCATTACATAAGACTGGGCAGCTAGCTTTAAGCAAGGCTACAACTCTATAGCACTATTGCAAAAAGCCTGATTGGCTGCCTAGTCTCCCAACTCTAGCAGTCACCTCGTCACAGAGTGGCTGCTTGGGAGCCAGCCCCCTGTTACTACACACGTTGAGAGGTATAAATTGAGGTCTGTTTTGATCCTTAAGCAGTGTCATCATGTCTCTGTGTAGACAGCAGGGGTGCTGTGCTGCATTTGCCACTGGCCACACAGCAGGGCTGATGTTTTCATCCCAGAAAGGGCAGGAATTGAACCTGATTCTAGGAGGTCTGTGCTTTCTACTTCCTGTCATGGGATTAGGGACTACATGACTAATAGCTGGGTTTGCTGCTATGCTCCCTTCTTAAATTAGGTCACCAGCTTCGTCAGAGGCTTGCCGGGCTGCAAAGATCATGCTGCTGTTTTCAGGAGTGAGGTAAGGGTGGTTTTCCTTTTGGTGTCTTCTTTTTCTCATTTACATTCCTCTTGCTGTTCTGTAGCCTTAGCCATAACTCACAAATACCTAAACAGAGGACTGGGTAACCAGGTATTAAACATTTTCACTTCAGCCTTTTTGTCTTGCTACTAAATCCCAGATTATAACATGTAGTCTGTCCGTCTTGTGTAGTTCCTGCATAGTTATAAGAATCTCTTCTGGCTGTTTCCTGGAAGGATCATATATAACGTGATTCATCTGATGGTCATTGAGTCTAATAGCTAATCATGTTCTACCAAGTCTGTTTGTCCTGGCTGCTGTTTTGATCTTGAAGTAACGGTTGGGTCAAACATCAGACTTTTGAACTGAGGTCAGCCTGAAGAACTTAATTTCACTCAACTTGCACATGTATCACTTACTTCTAATCTGGCTGACAGTTTCATCCAAAGTGATTTACTATTGCACCAATTTATTCCTCTTGTTAGTTTTACTGGCGAGTCCCTCACTCAGAGATATTACAGCCTCGTCATCCTTTGGGATTCGAACCTACAACCTTCCAGCTGTAGGTCCAGAACCCTAACCACTGCTGCTGTTCTAGGAGTACTGTGGCTGCTCTTCTTTCTGAGCCCTGTCCAGAAATGTCTGTTTTTTTAGTTCTGGAGTCTTACCCTAAAGCTGGATGCTTCAATGGTTAGAACCTTGTAAATTAGTTTGACTTTTTCCTTTTATTCTGTAAATAAAAGCCAGCCCTGTCCTCTTGTCTGGCAGCAAATAGACGGCGAGGCCTTCCTGCTCCTCACCCAGGCGGACATTGTCAAGATCCTGAGCATCAAGCTGGGCCCGGCCCTGAAGATCTACAACTCCATCCTCATGTTCAAGAGTGCTGACGAGGAGTGAGGCTGTGCAGTCCTGTTCATGGAGAACAGTCTTCCGGTGCCTGCTCGTCTGGGCGTGCAACTCATTCTCCTTGATCGAGTCTCCCGATTTAAGACCGCTGTTCCACAAGCCAGGAACGGGGACATGTAACTTTTATTTGGAGGGAATGTGTTTTTTTTTTTTTATTTATTTCGTCTACGTGTTTGTACTTCCAATGTTTTATTGGAGGATATCTTTTTTGTTTGTTTGTTTTGAATGTCACAGAGTGAATGTTTTTAGAGAAACAATCCTCACAGATTTCTGGTCTACAGTGCAGCAGTTTGGAGGGCCTTTGCTGGCTGACCCTTGACCTCTCATGCTCTCAGTAGCGGCAACAGGAAGTGGATTAGGAAAAGCCACTGTGATGCAGGACATCATTTGCAACTGACAAAAAAAACCTATCCACTCAAGCATGCTGGGGTTGATCAGTTCACATCTAGGCAGATTTGTCACTTACATTTATTTTTTAAATTCCCTAAAAAAATAGCTTTCCCAGTGATCTGCACGGAAATCTGTCCCGTGAACTCTCCAGAAAAATCTGTCCCGTGAACTCTCCAGAACTATTTTGTAAGAGGAAAAGCTATCTCTAGATTTTTAACTTGTAGCTTTTCCTGCATGAATTTTGATTTTAGTGTACATTAAGGACACAAATGGTGCTGAGAGCACTTTGTTGAGCACATGGTGCTTGGGGAGGTTGTTCTCCGTTTCATTAAAAAAAAGTTATTCAAAATCATAGAAGCCACAAGAACATAAGTTGTTTCGATGTCTGTAGGAAAAAGGATGAGCTGTGAGGTGAGGGACTATGAACTGCTTCAGTGTGCTGCAGGTTTGGACTCCACCAGTAGATGGCGCCCTTGAATTGACAGACGGTGGTGGAAAGGAGGTTGGATCATGGGAGAAACTGTGGAGGTGGATACAGAATTTTGTGAATTGTTTTTCATCAGGTTTTGTTTCAAAGCATATTTGAACTGGATTTAACACCAGCCATTCCTGTGATGCTGTCTCTCCAATGAAATGTTTTTTTAACTACAAATGAAAATTTGTAAAATTCAAGAAGAACACACCTCGTTTATCTATTTACTTGGAAAGAGTGCTTCCCTATAGCGTTTTAGGGAGCACCACTGGCCAGCTGTGTAAAACACCCACTTTTTTCCTATATGAGTTTCTTGACCTCTGAGGTACCTGCACCTAGTATGTGATAATACTGAGGTTAGTTACCAAGTAAGCAAAAAAAAAAAAACTGACACTTTTATGAGACTTAACTTCCAGGGCTCCTCCAGTCACTTCTGTAGGCACAGCCATAACAGAAAAACCGCGTTGTACTCGAGAGCCGGAAGGAGCCATGAGCTTTCAGACTCCTATGTGAATCTTGTTGTTTTCTGCCTTGGTTTAAGCAGCTGACCAAAGGAACTTTAGCTGGGAGCGTTTTTTAATTGGTGATGGGTTTTCTAATGGTCAGATCTTTCCAAGGGAATTAAATACCTCCACTCTCAAAACTTGAATGTTATTAACTAAACCTTCTTTGCTATGGGTCTGGACTTATTGTTGGTCATAGGAAGGCTGTGGATGATTTCGGTGTCAAAGGGGTAAAAGGAAAACTAGGGTGATGGGGATAGAGTCCACAGAAAAACTGGAAAACTACCAATAGTTGCATGACAATGCAAAAGTGTTTACATGTAGCTAAATTTACATAGAAGGCATTGGCTCTTTGTCTTTCTCCTTTATTTGACTGCTATGTCTGGTTTATATGGCTACAACTGTAACTGTATAGAAACCCCATGAAATACATTGACCCTTGAAAGAAACATTTCTACACAGTTTCAGCTCGGGTGAGAGAAATATAAATGCTTTTTCACAAACTAAAGGAATCCAGTCTTGGATAAGGAAAGGTTAGAATAACCCTGTTTTTTTATTTTAAAAAAGGCAAGGGGAGTTTAAATTATTCATACCACTTAACAAATTCCCAAAATGTGTCAAGGACTGGACTTTGTGAATGTTTTAAAATGAGTTCTTCTACGGTATTGTTAAATAATACTATTTGGTGCTTAGCTGTTGAATTTAAATGTGAGACGCTGTGTAACATGATGGTTATTTATGTGTGTTATTTAAGATATTTCCTATTAGGTGAGAATACCTCCTCGTGATGTAGCAATTTGTGCAGGAACATCCAAGGGAATGTCTTCATAGCTCTGTTGGGGAAATGTACACGTGTCCGAACAAATTAAACCCCTTTACCCTTTACACCCTGTACAGGGGTTTGTCTCGGCCTTTTTCTTCCAAGCCCTTGTAAGGTCTCATGAAGGCTTATTTTAACAGACTGGGTTATCCAGAAGTTTGGAGATCCTGTCTGCCTAGGCTGAACATGTTTTCTAAAGTATCCCAGCCCCAGAGAACCTGAAATGGATCAAAGTTAGGTGCTATAAGTGCCACTGAGATACACAGCCCAGAAGACCTACGGCTGAAGGTTCAGGCAAAGCTGGGCTTCTGTACGCTATTTAAACCACCGTCCAAGGCTCAAATTCTGATTACAAAACATCTGCTCCAACTTTAAACCTCTGCATGACTGCTTATGTCCTAAGAGGGAAAACCAAATGAGTATAGGACTGGTCTTAAAACTGCCACTTGCAA